AGCGGAAGAGCGCCATAGTCCTTTCCTCTGTCTGTGTAAGCGCCTTTGCCAGAGATGAGAATTGACCTGACGACTCCAAGGCTGAGAGGAGCCGCTCCTGTTGCATGCAGGTGAGGAGTGGCGGGAGGGGAGGGAAGAAGGGAGGAGAGGATAAGTGCGGACAAAGTCAAGAGAAGGAGAGGAGCAAGGAGCAAGGATAGCATTCCACAGCAGAGCACAGTACTTGAGCAACAGGAACACAAAGAACGAGAGCATCAGGAGGAGCAGGAGCAGGAGGAGAGGACTAGCAGCAGCAGCAGCAGCAGCAGCAGCAGCAGCAGCAGCAAGAGGAGGAGGTGGTGTATTGTCTTGACCTTGTCTTTCTTGAGGTGTTTGATCTCTTGTCGCATCGTCGTCAGAGCTGATTGCACCTGAAAGCACCGATGAGCGAAAATGAAACAGAAGACAGCGACGAGCAGCAGGAGCAGGGACAGGGACGAAGAGGTGGAGGAGGTGGAGGAGGTGGAGGAGGTGGAGGAGGTGGAAGGGAGCGGGGGAGAAGGGGAGCGGGGAAGAGGGGAAAGAAAGAGACGTGAGGAGGGGTTTGCGATAATGGGGCGAGAAGCAGCAAGGAGGCCAGAGAGGGAGGGAGAAGGGGTGGGGGAAGCGAGTCGAAGAGGGTGTGGAGGAAGCGGAGGGAGTGAGGGAGGGTTAGGAAGAGGATACGTACCTCCTGCTGGTCCATCTGCAGCGTTTGGTTCCTTTTCTTCTGCTTCATCTCCTCCAGCTCATCCTGCACGAGTCGCAGCTCTCCCCGGAGGTTATCGACGATCTTGGCTGCAAGGTGAGGTGAGGAGGAGGATGAAGGACATCGTCTGCTTCACATGACATGATGAGCTCGCCTTCTGCTACCTCCGTTCGGCTCCTGTACACCTTCACCTGCTCTCGTAGCTCCTCTGCCTGCTGGTTCGAAGCATCCAGCTTCCTCAGCATCTGAATTTCGGAGACTCAAACCTCGATTCGTCGAGAGCGATACAGGAGCGGGGGTGGGAGCAGGAGCGGGGGCAGGAGCGGGAGCGGGAGCGGGAGCAGGAGCAGGAGCAGGAGCAGGAGCAGGAGCAGGAGCAGGAGCAGGAGCTTACCCGCTGGATCTGCTTGGAGCTCTCTTCGTTGTCAGCATCCCCCTGCTTCAACCTCCTCAGGCAGCCCTCGAGCTCGTCGGACTTAGCTTGGACCGCAGAGCTCAGAGACTTGTTCTCCTCCTCCAGGGACGTCAGGACCTGCTGCAGCCGCTTTTCGCGGCTAGAGACGTGCATCTTGATCTCCTTCAGCTCCTCCTGCAGCCTCGCTATCTCCTCCCTCGCCTCCGCTGCCGCTCCCTCCTGCTCGTCCCGCTGCCTGCACACCAACAAGCTTCACCATCGCCGCCCTCCAGCACACAACCTTGTACCTCATCGCCCGCTGCATCACCTCCTCCGCCTTCTCCATCTGAATGCCCATGTCCCTTACTGCAGACCGCAGGCTCTGCTCCCTCCTCTCGTACTCTCGCTCTCGCTCCGTCATCTCCACCTTGACCCGCTCAAGCTCCCTCATGAGGTGTGCCCTCTCAACCGCGTGAGCCTCCTGCAGCTTACTCCTCTCTCTCTCCAACTCCCGTCGGTTCTCTCTCAGCTCATCGTCCTTGTGCTTCAGCTCGCTCTTCGCCTGCTTCCACAGCGCGTGTATCTTGATCACCTCCTCCTGGTACTTCCGCTCGATGCTCGTGTTGTTCTTCGACACTCCTTCCCGCTCGGTTCTCACCTCCTCCTCCAGGGTTTGACTCGACGTGCTCAGCAGACTTGTGTCCTGGGACTGCGGGTTGGACGAGTACCTGCTCGATACAGCTTTCACGCGCTCCCTGACTCGGTTGAGGGCGGAAGTGCGAGGAGAGGTCGTCCTGGAGGGCATGCTGCTGAAGAGAGAGACTGACGACAGAGGAGAGGACATGGCAGGCGGCTCGAAGTCCTTTAGTCAATCATGCTCGGGCAGTCTGAGGGCAGAAGAGTCACCATGACGATGAATTTTATCGCCTCCAAAGCCTCTCTCCTCCCTTTCTCCACTAGAAGATACTCCTCTGATCCCTTGCTCCCAGTTTCTCGGAACCATCCAGTCTCATTCCATCCCTTGGATCCTCCTCCTCCTCCTCTTACTCCTCCTACTCCTCCTACTCCTCCTCCTCCTTTCCCCCCTCCTCCCCATCATCATCATCATCATCATCATCATCATCCTGATCCTTCCTCCTCCTCCTCCTGATCCTTCCTCTCCCTCCATCACTCTTCCTTCCTCCCTCCTCTTCCAACTCCTTCCCATCCCGATTTTTCGCATTTTCGAATTTTTCGCCCGCCTCCCCTACCAATAATATTTCTTGGAGGACCCACAGACCCAAGCCTGGGACCAAGTGCCACAATCGCTAGCTAGGGGTAGCGATCCGAAGAGTAGGGGTGTAGAAACGGACACCATCAAAAAATAGGGGTGTATGCTAAGAAGTAGGGGTACACTGAATGATTGTAGGGGTTATGACTCAGATAGCAAAACAATCATGTAGGGGTACTTGATTTCCAAGTACCGGTGTGAAAGAGAATGGGGTGGTATCAGAGTGCATAGAGGGGTCTGTGTAATGAGTTCTAGCAAGGGGTGGGTGAGGGGTACAGAGGATGTACGAGGTGTCGCAATGGTAGAAGGCAGTGAGGGGGAGAAGCATGCAGGAAAAGAGGAAGAGACGAAGAATGAGAGGAGGAGAGGAGGAGAGGAGGAGAGGAGGAGAGGAGGAGAGGAGGAGAGGAGGAGAGGAGGAAGGCGAAGATAGAGTGAGGAAGAGAGGAGAGGAGATCACCAATTTGGACGAAGGCAGAAAGGGAGATCGAGGGAAAGGAGGGGAGGGAGAGATTGTGGGGGGGAGGTGCGAGTGCAAGGCGGCCATGGTGGAAGAGAGGAGACGAAAATCCCAGGAGGATAAGCAAAGGTCACAAGGATGTTGATGAAGGTACAGCAGAGTGAAGGGAGAAGGGAAAGATTTGGCAAGAACAGCGCAAGGGAGAGGACAAGGTGTACATGTTGGAAGAGTCTGGTAGGCTATTCTGTAGTGAAGGTTGATGGTGGTCGATGAGGAGGAGCCTGAAATAAGAGGATCTGATGATTGTGATGAGAGGCATGCAAACAAAGGAGCAAAGATATTGACCGTTATCCCTCCGGTTCTGATCAGCCCCGTTGCAGGATGGCAGGGGTGAATTCCACTCAGAGTCAACAGGGAGTCGACATGAACGAGCTGTACGACGTCGACAATGTGACAGCCGAGCAGTCCGAGCGGTTGATCTTCGACGCCAAGAGCAACTCGTGGGACAACAACACGGTGCAGGTCAAGGTGGCGAAGCGCATGTTTGCGCACGGCCAACAGTACGGGTGCATAAGGATGAAGGACACAGATGACGGATCGGTGAGAGTGTTGAAGAAGGCCTTCAAACAGATGCCCGAGGAGTTCATCTACGACAGCGTCAAGATCCAGTCGCTGGCGTTTCTCTGTTGCAACCTGTTCGCCGTCAAGTCTAACTATCTCTTCAAGGCAAGCTTCTTCCAGAAGACCATCTACCGCCTCCTTCAGCGACCCAACCAGCCCCTGATCGTCACTGAGCCTCTCCTCGACAACAACGGCAAGTACGACAAAAGCACGGTAGCCCTGCTCCCCAAGACAGCTTCGTCGGAGGACGTCAGGCAGAGCCACATGTGGGCTGCGTTTCAGTTCTTTACGTGGAAGCAGTCGCAGCAGGGGATGGTGTTCGAAAGAGCCTCCCTTGTCAACTCCACGCTGTGGTCCGACCCTGTCCTCCACAGCAGCGACAGATCCCTCGGCGGCGCCTTGGACGGAGGGCAGGAGGCCATAGAGGTGTGAGCTCAGAGGGCTCGAGGAGGAGGGAGGGAAGGGCAAAGTTGAGGTGGTGGATAAGTGCAGGGAAGCAGCGCAGGGAAGGAAAGAAAAGCAAGGAGGGCGGAGCAGAGGGGGGAGCGGAGAGCAGAGGAGAGCAGAGGGCGAGTGGATTGGGGGATGGAGAAGAGGAGAGCGAAGCAGGGGAGGACTGAGGAGCAAGTGACTGACCAGGACGTGTCAGGAATGGCAAGGGTCGTTCATGGAGCGATACTCGACCCTCCTCAACCTCCGAGCGGACGAGATTGAGTCGCTAGACATCGAGACTTTGCTGCAGCTCATGAACGAGAAGAACCTCTTCTCGGGTAAAAAACTTCCTTACTGTCACTCGACTGATATACTCGAGCAGGCAAACCTCAATCTCCTGCTCCTGCTCCTGCTCCTGCTCCTGCTCCTGCTCCTGCTCCTGCTCCTGCTCCTCCAGTGGTGGAAGCGGCGAAGGAGGAGGGCAAGGATGAAAAGGTCGTAGAGCCCCCGCAAACGGTGGTGGAGGAAGCAGCAGCAGCAAACGACATGGAACCTCAGGTGGAGGAGAACGTCAAGGCTGCCGCTGCCGTACCTGCACAAGAGGAGAAGAAGCAGGAGGAGGACAAGCAGGAGGAGGGAGGCTCGGCTGTCAATCAAGCGCAGTGGGCGAAGGAGCTGCTGCAGAAGCAGGTCAGCCTCTGATGTTGTGTGAAGGGCCAAGGGTGATCAAGCGGGAGCAGGCAAACTCGAAGTTTCAGAGCGAACAGAAGTTCGACGTCGCGTCAGTGGAGGAGCAGTCGCAATGGGTGAGCCGCTGCCAGAATCCTCCCGTCCGCTGGATCCCTACCGCGAACCTCACGCCCTCTCCTCATTCCTTCCTTCCTCCTCCTCTCCTCAATCTCCTCAACCTCCTCCTCCTCCTCAACCTCCTCAACCTCCTCCTCCTCCTCAACCTCCTCCTCCTCCTCCT